AATTTTTTAAAAAATAAATTATTCTTTTCAACACAATTCAAAGCAACGTCTTATTTCACTAAATTATAATTTAGCAAATTTTATTTATTATTACTTTTTCCAGTTTTTAGTTATTTCAGTGACTGTTGTGAGTTTCGTCTTTTCTTTAATGGACGGGATGAAGACATGTGAGGACTGTATGATGATGAACTGACTCTGTGGACAAATGCTTGGGTTAAATAATCTCATTTGATTATTTACAGTCAAATAGTTGAATTCTAGCTTTTCTTTAAGCTGCAAACATTTTAAAAGACATATATTATGATCTAGAAGGTGATGAGGCTCCAATATTTGAAAATCTCTTTGTGCTTGATTTGGTTTATTTTTCCACCAAAACAGTCAAAACTGCTGCAAACTTTCCATTTTCATCATTTATCTGCCAGGTCTCCTTTATTTTAGTTTATTTTTCTTTTTTTTGCTGCGTAACATCGTGAGAAAAAATGTTCTATGAATAAAGTTTTGTTGTTCAGGCTACAGCTCACCTGGCTGAGCTGGTGACCCAGGTACAGGGGCTGTGGTCCCCGATGCAGAGGTCGTGGGTTCAAATCCCCCTCATGGCCCTTTCCTGTCTCTCTCTGTTCACTGTCCTACACAATAAAGGTAAAAAGAACAACTTTCCAGTAAAGTTTTGCTGTTTGTCGTCATCTGTGGAGTCTAGAGCGTATCAAAGTCTTCACACCACTGAGGCGTTCTGGACTTTTGATTTTTGAACGAGAATTTAACAAAAAAACAAAAAGACTCTCTGATGTCAAAATGAGAACAGATTTCTAGCCTCAGACACGCTTTAAATCAGTCACCGTGTGCTGCTGCTGCTTCTGGACAAACGCTTCAGCAAACACGGATGAAACTGAATTTAGGCTCCACAGAAAGACTACAAAAATGGCCGCCGCCCATCCAGACCTGTGATCTCTGGTAGAACACGGGCCTGGTCGATCAGATGAACAGATCCCTTCAGTAGTTACGGAGGTGTCTCTGATGTTCGCTCGACTCAGACGCAGTAAATCAGTTTTCTAACAAACAAAGAGACATTTTGGGGAAACAGCTCAGCTGGAGGCCAGAACAGTTCTGCGTGTCTCCTCAGAACGTCAGCAGCGACAGACTCTGAGCTGCTGTCTGGACTCACGTCTGTTAGATTTGAGCTGATAGTTAAAGTGAGAATGACTGTCGTTGTGAGAAGTCGGATTCCTCCTCACGTCTGGTTCTGCTGAAGCTCTGACACAGAACCTCGCTGAACCTGAACGCAACACAAACACACACTGTTCTCGTTGTTAAGGAGTTCCTACTTGTGCTTTCGTTCCACATTTTATCACCAACCTGAAGCTCATTTTGCAGCAACATGAATGAATGCGGCTCCAGAGCTGAGGGGAACGTCACCGAGCACTGAGCTGGCTTCCATCTGCAGGTTCAGCCGTCATGTTGGAGACTCTTTGCTCTGTTCCACATTTATGGGAAGGTTTTCATTGCAGAGGGTCTGAACACTCACATGAATGACTGATAAATGCTCGGCTCCCCTGAAACACTACAAACCACACTAACTCCTGACCAGGCCGATGCTTCACCTGCTCCTTTATGTTTTTAAGCTCTTTTCAGGAACTTTCTCTTATATCATGAAGAACATTTAATGGAAATGAGTGTCTGAGAAAAGAAACGAGGTGAGAAACAACCCAAAGAAATGTCAGGTGTGCAGCTTTTCCAAAACATCTACTGAGATATTTAAACCTTTTTATTCTGCAAGTCTCATTGAAAAATTAAAAACAAACTGTTTGCTCCAAATAAATTCCATAAAAACCTAAAAACTGTGATCGTCCAGGACCGACTCAGCTGAGACCAAAACATCCAGAGAGCTTCAACTGCAGCCAGAGTTTCCTCAGAGAGACTGAAGGAGAATCCAACCTCCTGGATCAAAGAAGACATGCAGCACGGATCAGAACCAGAGACCAGAGGAGCACGTTGGTGGAGATACATTCATCTGATGGTGGAACATCTTTCTACTGATGGTGGAACATCTTTCTACTGATGGTGGAACATCTTTCTACATCTGAGTTTGTAGAAGCTGTAGAACAGTGTAACATCTACAGCATGTGGAGAAACCTTTTTCCTGCAGGACTGGACATGTTGAGTCCAGTTTTTTTTCTTTTTTTTGTAAAATAAATATCAAATAAATTCTACTTTTTTATTTCTGTCATCTTAACTTGGTCAGACCGACAGAATCATCTCTGAGTTCTCTCCTTCATGTTCTGGTTCCTCAGAGCTGCAGGACTTCAGGTTTCATTGTTTTGCTGCTTCCACGGACAACGGATGGGAAGCATGGACATGACGGATCCTGAGACCTGGTTTGCAGCCTTCTGGGTCGTCAGTAACTCCAGAGAAGTTCCTCTCTGGAGGTTGAAGGCATGACTCAGACCTAAGGTGATGGAGCTACAGACTGGTGTTGAACTAACTGGTGAGCAGCGCTTCCACAGCTTCGAGGTGTGTTTCAAACCACGTCTCTGCTTCTAATTAAAGCCTGGAGCGGCTCAGACGAGAGGGATTAAGATTTTTAAACCAGATGGAAAAACAAGCCGCGATCTTGGCAGCGTGGCACTCGGCCTGTCGTGAGAGCGCAGCGAGACCTCACCAAAACAGCGTCGAGGCTGTGGGTCTGAAAAACCAACAGACCGCGGGTTGACTCATCGGAGACGCCACAGGACGGAAGTTCAGCCTGAGAGGGCGGGCGGCCGTGGAGGTCCCTCGGGTGGATCGTGTTTCCTCGGCGTGGAGCGTCGCAGCTCAGCGATCGGCCCACAAACAGGAACGGCTCAGAGATGATTGATTCAGAATCACACCCTCCAGAGGCTTGTGTCACTTCAGCAGTCACGCTATCTCCAAACACAGCGACGCTGCAGAGACCTGCGCCAACATGTCACGCCGACTCACTCAGCACCGACTAACTGGTTCAAAATGTGGCTTTAGCAGCAGCAGCCATGTTTGTGTCGTTCACATTCCTGTCAGAAGGGAAACGCTGTTCCTGCTTCTCTGAGAAGCTTCAGGACTCGTCTTGTTGGCTTCACCTTCATCCAAGAGGCGTCTTCTGACCTCGAACCGTCCTCTGAACCCATCGCTCCTCATCCACTCACTGTGAAACCAACAAGTCAGGGACGACTAGAGACTGCATCATACGAGTTTCTAAAAGTGGTGAGACGTCAACAGGTGGTTGATCAGAACAACTTTTTATCTACAGCTTGACACCAGGACCATCTCTTAGACATAATGCAGGTACTAACAGTGTCCTACTATAATCCACAAACAGGTAAAGTGTGTTAGTATATTTCCAATCCTGACGCTAAGCTAAGCCAGTCGCTGACTTGGTATGGACGTTACACTCAGCAGGAAACTAAGAAATGAATCTCAAACTGTTCTTTAGCAGCCTGGTGTCCCACCTGCTGGAACTTTACGAAGCCTGAAGCCTGTTGTGACGACATGTGAAGGCTCATACAGCCACGGGACCAGTGATCGGACCACCAGCGTTCTCATCATCTGGTGTCTGCCGAGTCCTCATCGGACACCAGACACTATACACTAAAGCACATTAAAGTTATTCAAGTCAATTCAGTAGTTCTGTGGGCAGCGTTCAGCGAGCAGTGCATGACAGAGGCTGTGTGAGGCTTAACGTCCTGTCCAGAGCTGGTAGGACTTCATTGTGTGTCCATGAAACCCTAACCCTGCACGACACCGTCCTGACATCAGTGGGACACTTAGTAAAAACTAGAAAAGTCATCTCTCGTGGTCACGATGATCTAAACGTCCGTCCCACAGCTTCACAAGAGGAGCTGCTGCTGAGCCTGAAGACGACCCCTCTGACCTGCTGGGGGGATGGAGGAGGGGCTGAGCCTGGAAATGAACCGGAGAAGGGACGAAAACACAGAGCGAGACAGACGAAGAAGAAGACTCACGGCGAGGATGAGCGAGAGGCGGCGGCCGGCGGTGAGGAGGCGTCTGGAGGCTGATTTGAGGCGGCATGTTGTTTTTTCCTGGAGTGCGCAGGCTTCTGCTGCTGTTGAGCCATGTGCCCATCACAGCCTCCGGCATCATCCAGGCTTCATCCACTCAGACACCGAACCCCTGACAGCCCAGAACAACCAAGAACAACATGTCACATCAGCTCCTGTTAGCGCCGGCTCACCGTCCTCCCTCCTCGGTGAAGACCAGACATCCTGTATGGTCGTTTATCAGTGTTTTTCTCTCCATTGGGGCCATTTGAACTGTGACAGCGGTAAAGCAGAGCTGTGTTTACGGCACAGAGCCCCGTCCAGCTACTGAGTGGTCTATATGGTGACAAACACTCAGCTCAGTGGAGACATGAAGGTCCACAACATGTAAAACAAGATTCATTTAAGACAATAAACGAATAAACTCAAAGCAGGATGTCACCTGGACGTCTGACAAGTGAAGCCTTAAACCTGCATTCTGTCCGACAGCCAGCAGGAGGCGACACGTCGGGTCGGCTGTATGGAGTGAGATCATTCCCACCCGACGTTACCTCACTAAACGTTTTCCTGATGAGTTCATGGTCTCGGTCTCGTTTCAAGCCTCCTTCAACACCACATGACGTCACTCTAGTTACTGAAGGTCCCACTCAGAGAAAATGCAGCAGCAATAATCCGGGTGCGTTTTAGGGCGGCGCTACTTTGCCATTAAACCGTCTTCCACTGTAGGATCTGCTGGATATTTTTACGGCGGCCTGAAGTTCTGTACGTGTTCTGACAGCGAGGACCGCCCCTGTAGAACGTACTCCAGGCCAGATACTTCTGGAAAAACGTGATGCTGGTTGGACAAACTCTGAGAGGACGATGAGCACCATGTTTCTGCCTTCTTGGTGTCCCAGCAGTCTTCAGCTGAGCACGGCCATCAGCAGCAGGAAGCCAGGGCTGGAGCCGGTGCCGACGGCTTTGTTCTGGTTCTACTCAGCGTCCAACAGCCTCAACTGCGACGTTAACCCAAAGTGCGGTACTGGTTACTGGACTTAAGCCCAGTTCTACGAGCCTTTGTCGTGTGGTGACTTCTACACTCTGAACAGTGATGTTTGAAGAAGGCTGCTAACGGACCGGTCAGTACTTTTTCTGCCTAAACGAGGTTCTGCAGGGACGGTTAGTGCAACACGGGAAACGTTTCCTGCAGTGGAAATAGCTTCACTTCAAACAAAACTGTAAACTTTCAGCATGACAACCCTGATCTGGTTCTAAACTGCTCCAGTACCGCTGACTGGGATCAGGTTCCATCAGAGCTACTTCATCCCCTTCCATGGGCCCTGAAGGAGGTTCTGCTGGGCGGTTCCTCGGTTCATGGACAAAGCCCTGGGCTGCTCCAAACCAGTCCGACTACAAGTAGACAAGGACATCAAGAAGGTGGAAAAAATGATGCTTGTTGTCTTACCTGAACCAATGACCTCTGACATCCGCACAGCAGTTTGAGAACCACAGAGAACATCTTACACTCTGGGAGTCAGTGCTGGTTCTGTCTCTAAAACAGGTTGTAGAGGAAAAGCTGCTGCGGAACACAACTTAGTTAGAAACAAACCTGAACCTTTAGCTCAACAATAAAAGTCGCTTTGGGCCGACAGTGAGGTTTCGTATCAGCCAATGGCGAGCCTGCATCACGCTGTCTACAGGTGTTCTCACTGTCAGCACCGTCTGCCTTCCTGGAGATGGTACCTTCCTTCAGTGAAGATGGTTCTAGTTGGAACCTGCACAAAGATGAGAACAACCCACATGTTCCTGCAATGGGAAACGGCCCGACCTAAAGTTCTGCTGATGTGATAAAGCTTCAGCGTTGTTTCAAGCTGCAGTGACATCCAGTAACTGCTTGTTGTCGTTGGTTAGACGCTGACGCTGCGGTTAAGGCTGTCGGGTTCCACACAGAACGATGAAGGCTTGATTGGAGCGCTGTTCCTGTAAACACCACCTCTACAGACCGGTCGCTACCGTCAAACCTCCTCCAGCTCTGTCACATCCAGTTTCAGAAAAGCCAAAATGACAACGGTCAAGTTCCAAAGCTCAGAGCGGCGGCGGCAGCACGGTGGCAGCGTCCTCCTTTGTAGGAGGTTTATGGCTGAACTAGTGAATGAGACCACAGCACACATCTGAAACGAGTTAAACATCTCTCCGTTCTCTTTATTAGCTCGTCTCTCAAACTCACATTCATCAGTTTCAGGCATTCACATTTCAGTTTAATAACCCAGTGACATCCGGCTCCCCAAAGCACAATGAACAATCAGCCTGTGCATGAGCGTCGTGGCCGAATCCACGGCGCTGAACATCACAGCTCGCTGCTGATCACAGGCATCATACAGGCATGGATCTGGTTTTGGTTCGCAGAATGCAACGAGTAGCAACAAACCCAGAAAGCTTCTAAGACATCTTTTCACATCTTTTGGACTCAATACAAAATTAAAAAATATATTTTAAACAGTAAATCCAAACAGGCAAGCAACGCAAATAAAACATTGGATCTGAGTGGAGGCTTCTGTCGCAGGCTGCTTCTGGTTCGTCTTTGAAACCTTTTACTCGCCGCCGAGGCGTTCTGTGGTTTCACATGTCTGAATCAGGAGCTACTGGTTCCCATTAATCCCAGCACTTAGCAACCTGCTCGACATTAACATCGCTTCACCGCCACCTTCAGTCGAACGACGACGAACCGCATTTTAAATCAACGTCGAGGTTCTGTCACCAACTGGGAACTGAAACCAGAGCGTGTTCCCAGTTGACCGTGGTGGGATCAGTGGAAACCAACGGCGACCGAATGGGAATGACAAAATGGTGACGTAACCATGATGTGCAGGTGATGGGCTGAAAACACACCTTTCCAGGTAGGGGCGGACGGACAAAGTGAAAATGATTCAAATAAAATGTTTTCAAAAGCACGACTCAGATTGTGGTCGCTATGTGCAGGTATGTGTTTTCCAGGTGGAGGAGCTGCTGACCTAGCCTAGCCTAGCACTAACCCACCTGGTGTTCTGAGCGGCCTCTCTTAACGAAGCCGTCATCCATCTCAGACAGCAGCTGCTGACATTCGTCCATCTCCTGCTCTCCAAACTGTCCGTGTGCTGCCGTACTGAGCTCACCGTGGCTGCAGAGAACATGAAGTCCATCCGTGATAAGATGACTAACGTCGCCAGCTGCTGTCCAAGAAAGTGAAGCTGGACTTCGACACAAGAGACTCGTAGACATGCAGCAGAATGAAACCAACAACAGACCTCAACATTCACAGCAACACCACCAGAACTGCTCCCCACCCGCTGTGGAGGAGGAACCTTTCTTCCCTGACCGAGGTTCTACAGGACAGTTTCTGAGGTTGGACATGCCCTGAAAAGACACTCAGGCTCCTGCAGCTGAAATCAGCCTCATGGAAAATTCGGCCAGCGTACGAAACCTCTACTGGTCCATTTTCCACAGGCTCATAGAACTGGTTCACAATCTCAGCGCTGCCGCTGAAGCTGTGGGATCAGCTGCACTGTAACGGAAACAGAACGGCTAAAAGGCTCGACCCGGGGGCTGCTCCTGAACACTTTGACACCACTTCCTGCAGTGGAAAGACGCCTGTTGACAAGTCACTAAGAGTCCTCCAGGTCTCCGTCAGACCCACGCCTCACTGGTCCCATCGGCTGGAGAAGCAGGTGAACAACAGCGACCCGGAGCCTTCTGACTTAGTGGACGAGGAACTACAGCGACAGCAGCAACATCCTGAATGAACCGTCAACACGGTGGAGCTACAAGTCGCTTCTCCAGGTGCAACGTTCTGCAGAGATCTGTAAGTCGGGCCTTTAGCCAAATCACTGGTGTGACCATCCGCCCACCCCGACCTCCACTCTAACATCTGCATATATAAAACTAAACAGCCTCCATAGAAAAGCATCAAAAATCCCTTTAATACCAAAGATCTGGATCTCTAACATCGAGGTTCTGCACAAGGAAAGGCATGAGAAGAGTTGGCATAAAAAAAAACAGAAGTTCAAGCTAAAAACTGCAGAGAAGAGAACAAAAACAACTCAAGGATTCAAAATCAAAAGACGACGGTCACATGCGCCTGCAGTCCCCGTGGCAACACCCTGAAATCAGTGGACCGGACTGACACAGTGGACCGGTCCAGCAGAACGAGCTGCTGGCTGACGGAGAGTCTGCAGCCGGCAGCGAGTCCACCTGAACCCAACACCCACAGTGCATCAGTCTAATCCAGTTGGTGGTTTTTATCTTTAAAACATGCCTGCGCCGATTCATAAAGTGACTTTTTAAAAAATAAAATCTAAAATTCAGCTTCCCTTCCTGCAACAATGAAACGCTGTCACCACAGCCTGAAGGAGATAAATACCAGCTGTACAGCCTCAGTAGTGCTTCTTCATCACAGGTCTGACTCATAAAGAAGGACACAGCTCTACAGTCCCTCACTGCTGGACCTTCCCTCTGTGGAGCCCCATGGGACAGGACTTTAACAGTACCTGCGCTGGTCGCTCATTTCAATCCAGTCTGCTGTGTGTGAGCATTCTGCAGGCCGTCTGGTAACAAAGCCCACCACAGCCTTGTACTGCAGTGGGCACATCTGTCCTCCTGTGTTCTATCAGCTCAACTGGACGAAGTTAAACGTCTCCTCCTTCTTAGGAACCAATGTGACAACAGAGCTGATTACCTGTTCTCTTGAAGGCCAGGTTCTACCCTGGTTCTGGTCACAGATGGCACCAATGAAGCCCAATCATCCGTTAGTGGCTCTTCGTTGTAATCCAACCATAGACGTAGAGTTGAATGTCAGCGGATTAGTGAGACGCCAAAGAAGACTTCAGATGTGAGGTCTGCAGCTCTCTTCACTCCCTCACTAGATTTATGGATGTTCATCTGCTTTGTGTCCTCGATGTTTATTCCTGTAGTTTAGATCCAGTCCACAACAATAAATAACCAGAAACCACAAAGAATATTTCATCCTGGACCTCTGTAATCCTGTCTGAATGGGGCGTCAGCATCCCTGTAATCAATGGCTTCACTTCTGAATGTTCCCTAAAGACACATTCATGGTTTCTCACAGCCAGTGATGACAGACATGCTGCTGTAGCTGTCACCCGGCAGGAAACAGGGATCATGGAGAGCATTTCAGACATGAGAAGTGCCACCAAGAGCTGTGGAGCTGATGAAACACCAGAGCATGCTCCTCCACAGCGTCCAGTGGTCATCAGAGGTGACAGGAACGTTTGGATCTGCTGTCTGACAGGGGGCATGTGGCCGGAGCAGCCTGGGCGGAGCGTGGAGCCACATGAGGACAACTCCAGCGTTACAGAACACAGCCAAGCCCGGCTTGGTCCCACGCTGCTGTTAGAAATGTCTCATAGGCACTAGCTCAGTTCCTCTGCTGGGAACAGAGCAGAAGGAAGTCCTTGGTTACATAGAAAGTACGTCTGTAGCAGACAACATGCAGAAGCTGCAGATGAGCTGTGGTTCCTCAGCTGTGGAGCTGACCGCCGTGCAGCAGCCTGAAACACGAAACAGAAGACGTTATGTCACTGGCACGCCATGTCCTCGACAGGTAGTCAGCCATGGTAACAGCCAATCAGCTAATAGATGAAATCTGTCTGTCCATCCATCCATCCATCCATCCATCCATC